TTCTTGGTTGATTTTCTGTCTGGATGATGTATTGCTTGATGTCATTTGCATGTCATCATCCCCTACTATGACTCTCAATGTCTTCATTTATGACTCACTATGTTTGCTTTCAGTGTTAGTTTCTTCTACGTGTGCTATGTATATGATTAGAATAGTTCCATCCTCTTGTTGTATTGATGCTTTTATCAAAATGACATGTCCTTTTTGTCACTTGTTTTAGCTTTTGTTTTCAAGTCTATGATATCTAAGTATTGTTTCCCCAGCATTTTACTTCTTCATTTCCATCGGCAAAAAGTATATTTTTCCATACCTTTACCTTCAGTCTCTGTGTGTCATTCGATATGGAGTGACTTTGTGCATAGCATGTGTGCCATTTTTTGGGTTTTCTTTTTATCCTTTTTGTCAGGATGTCGAAAAAGTGCTGCCCCATCCTGAGCTAGGATGACCCAACACATCTCAGCACTCTCCCCGTTTGTACCCCACCAAAATCATGTATATATCACAATGAACAGGTGCTGCCAGAGTGGCTCATAACGTCTCCACCAAGATGGGACAGTTTGTGGGCCACTGCTCCTGCTTTCAAGAATTTCCTTTGTCGGTCTCACGTAACTTCCATCTTTCCCACTCTGGGCCGTCAATGAGGCAACCATGTCCCTAAATCACTGACCCTGTCCCGATCCTGAACACTGTCTCTGACCCCAACGCTAAAAAATAATTATCCCATCTCAGCATAGCCTAAAAACCTGCCAATAATAACCCCTTCCCTCTAAAACCTTAACGTACACATACCTCTCCCTTACACCCTGTTTCGAACCCAAAATCTCCTAAGAGTATTTCCTTCCTGAAACCCTAAAGAATGTCACTCACATACCATACACTAGACCTACCCCACCCCTATTATCCACAACTGCAAACATAAAGCAAAACACTGTCCGTGGCTGAGGGACCCAACCCAGAATTGGAAAATGTGCTGCGTCATCCTTAGCTAGGCTGGCTCAACACACCTCAGCGCCGTCCCCGTTTCTTCCCCCCATGAAAGCGCGGCTATATGTAAATGAAAGTGTGCTGTCAGACTGGTTCACAAGTCTGTCTGAAGAGGGGACAGTTTTGCGGCATCTGCTCCTGCTTTCGAGTATTTCCTTTACTGGTCTCCCCTAAATTCCGGTCGCACCCACTGTGTGCGATCCGACGACGGAGCCATGTCCCTGAAAATACTGAACCTTTCCTGAAAATGAACACCGTCCCTGCTCCCCAACACTAAAAAATAAATATCCCACCTTACCGAACACTAAAAACCTGTCCCTAACATCTCCTAGCCTCTAAAACCTTAAAGCTACACACACACCTCTCCCTTACATCCTGTTTTGAATGCAGAAAGTCCTAAGAGTATCCCATCCACTGAATCGTAAGAATGTCCCCCACAATCCAAACACTAGCCCTACCCCACCCCTATGCCTCCCACCCCAAACAAAAAACATAACCATGTGCCTTGTCTGAGGTACCCAACCCAAATTAGAAAAAGTGTTGCGTCATCCTTAGCTAGGCTGGCCCAACACACCTCAGCGCCCTCCCCTTTTCTTACCCCATAAAAGGGCAGCTGTATGTAAATGAACGAGTGCTACCAGACTGGTTCACAACATCTCTAACAAGAGGGGACAGTTTGCGGGCACCTGCTCCCACTTTCGAGTATTTCCTTTCCAGACTCCACTTACTTCCCTTCATGCCCTCTCTGAGCAATCCGACGAGGCAGCCATGTCCCTAAAAACACTGAACCTGTCCCGAAATCGAACACCGTCCCTGATCCCATCCCTAAAATGTAACTGTCCCACCTTAGCAAACCCAAAAACCTGTCCCTAACACTCCTTGCCTCTAAAAACTTAATGCTACACATACCTCTTTCTTACACTCTCTTTCGATCCCAAAAAATTCTAAGAGTATCCCTTTCCTGAACCCTAATAATGTCCCCCACAACCCAGTAACTAGCCCTACCCCGCCCCTATGATCCCCAACCACAAACACAAAACACAACCCTGTGCCAGGACTGAAGGACCCCATCTGGATGTGGAAAAAGTGTTGCATTATCCTTAGCTAGGCTGGCCCAACACAGCTCAGTGTCCTCCCCATTTCTGCCCTCTCAATAGCAGGGTTATACGCAAACAAACGAGTGCTGCCAGCCTGTTTCACAACGTCTCTCCCAAGAGAGGACAGTTTGGGGGCACCTGTTCCCACTTTCGAGTATTTCCTTTGCCATTATCCTGTAACTTCGCGTGGAGCCCTCTCTGGGCAAAACAACGAGGCAACCATGTCCCTAAAAACACTGAACCTGTCCCGAACCCGAACACCGTCCATGACCCCAACCCTAAAAAGTAACTGTCTCACCTTAGCAACCCCTAAAAATCTGTCCCTAACACCTCCTTGCCTCTAAAAGCTTAACGCTACACATACCTCTTTCTTACACTGTTTTGAACCAAAAAATTCCTAAGAGTATACCCTTCCCCGAGCCCTAAGAATGTCCCGCACAACCCAAAGACTAGCTCTACCCTGCACCTATGATCCCCAACAGCAAACATAAAGCATAACTCTGTGCTGAGTCTCAGGGACCCAACCCGGAAGTGGAAAAAGCGTTTTGTCATCTTTAGCTAGGATGCCCCAACAGACCTCATCGCCCTCCTTGTTTCTGCCCATGCAAAACCTCACTTATATGTAAACTTACGTGTGTTGCGAGACTGGTTCACAAGGTCTCTCCCTAGAAGGGACTGTTTGGGTCACCTCCTCACGCTTTCGAGTATTTCCTTTGCCGGTCTCCCGTAACTTCCCATCACGTCCACTTGCGCGGTCCGACGAGGCAGACATTTCCTTGAAACCACTGAACCTGTCCGGAAACCGAAAACAGTCTCTGACCCCAACCCTAAAAAATAACGATCCCACATCACAGAACCCTAAAAACCTCTCCCTAACACCTCCTTGCCTCTAAAACCTTAATGCTACACACACCTCGTCCTTATACCCTGTTTTGAACCCAAAAAATCCTAAGGTAGTCCCCTCACTGAAACGCTAAGACTGTCCCCCACAATCCCAACACTAGTAAAACTCCGTCCCTGAGACCCCCAATGACAAACATAAAGCATAACCCTGTGCCGGCACTGAGTGACCCAACCCGTAAGTGTAAAAAGGGCTGCGTCATCCTTAGCTAGGCGGACCAAACACACCTCAGCGTCCTCCCCATTTCTGCCCCCGCAAAAACACGGATATATGTAAACAAATGAGTGCTGCCAGACTGGTTCACAAAGTCTCTCCCAAGAGGGTACAGTTTTGGGGCACCTGCTCACGCTTTTGAGTATTTGCTTTGCTGGTCTCCTGTAACTTCCAGTCGCTCCCACTCCGGACTGTATGATGAGGCATCCATGTCAGTGAAAACACTAAACCTGTCCCGAACCCGAAAATCTTTCCTGACCCAAAGCTAAAAAATTACTATTCCATCTCAGCGAAGCCTAAAAACCTGTCCCTAACACCTCCTTGCCTCTAAAACCTTAACACTAACATACCTCTTTCTTACATCCTGTTTCGAACTCAAAAAATCCTAAGATCGTCCCGATCCCCGACCCTAAGAATGTCCCCCACAATCCAAACACTAGCCCTACCCCGCCCCTGTGATCCCCAACCGAAAACATAAAGCATAACCATGTGCCGAGTCTGAGTGACCCAACCCGGAAGTGGAAAAAGTGATGCATCATCCTTAGCCAGGCTGGCCCAACACACCTCAGCGCCCTCTCCGTCTCTGCCCCTTCAGAAGCGAGGTTATATTTAAACGAACGAGTGCTGCCAGACTGTTTCACAACGTCTCTTCCAAGAGGGGACAGTTTTGGAGCACCTGCTCCCGCTTTCGAATATTTCATTTGCCGGTCTCCCCTAACTTGCCGTCACGTCCACTCTGGGCCATCCAACGAGGCAGCCATGTTCCTGAAAACACTGAACCTGTCCCGAACTCGAACACCATCCCTGACCCCAACCCTAAAAAGTAACTATCCCACCTACCCGAACCCTAAAAACCTGTCCCTAAAATTCCCTTCCCTATAAAACCTTAAGGCTACACACACCTCTCCCTTACCCGATGTTTCGAACCCAAAAATCCAAAGAGTATCCCCTTCACGGAACCCTAAGCATGTGCCCCACACAGTAAACACTAGTGTTACCCAGCACCTATGAACCCTAAACACGAACATAAAGTGCAACACTGTGCCTGGGCTGAGGGTCCAAACCGGAAGTGGAAAATTCCTGATTCATCCTTAGCTAGGCTAGCCTAACACACCTCAGCGCCCTCCCCGTTCCTGCCTCCACAAAAGTGTCGCTATATGTAAAGGAACGAGAGCTGCCTGACTGGTTCACAACGTCTCTCCAAAGAGGGGAGAGATTTGGGGCAACTGCTCCCGCTTTCGAGTATTTCTATTGCCAGTCTCCCGTAACTTGCCGTCGCACCCACCCCAGGCGGTCTGCCGAGGCAGCATTATCTCTGAAAACACTGAACCTGTCCCAAACCCGAACAACATCTCTGACCCCAACCCAAAATTATAACTATCCCACCTCATCGAACACTAAAACCTGTCCCTATCATTTCCTTCTCTAAAACCTTAATGCAACACACTTCTCCTTTACACCCTGTTTCAAACACAATCATTTCTAAGAATAACTCCTGCCTGGAAACATAAGAATGTCCACCACAATCCACAAACTTCCCAACCCCTCCCTTATGACCCGTAACCCCAAACATAAAGCGTAACCCTGGGCCTTGGCTGAGGGTCCCAACCCGGAAGTATAAAATTTGAGAGTCATCCTTAGCTACACTGCAAACCCCACCTAAGGGCCCTCCCGGTTTCTGCCCCGCAAAAGCGAGGCTATATGTAAATGAATGAGTGCTGCCAGACGGGTTCACAACGTCTCTCCCAAGAACGGACAGTTTGGGGGCCCGTACTCTCGCATTCTGGTATTTGCTTGCCGGTCTCCAGTAACTTCCTGTCGCGCTGACTCCAGGCAGTCCGACGAGGCAGCCATGTCCCTAAAAACACTGAACTGTCCCGAACCCAAACAACGTCCCTGACAACAAACCGAAACAGTAACTCTCCCAACTCAGCGAGCTATAAAAACCTGTCCCTAACATCCCCTTCCCTCTAAAATCTTAATGTTACCCACAATTTCCCTTACACCCTATTTTGAACCCAAAAAATCGAAAGATTATCTCCTGCCCGGAAACCTAAGCAAGTTCCCCACAAATCAATCACTCACCTTACCCTACGCCTATGCCCCCGACACCAAACATAAAGAATAACAGTGTGCCAGGTCTGAGGGACCCAAGCCAGAAGTGGAAAATTGATGAGGTATCCTTAGCTAGGCTGGCCCGACCCACCTCAGTGAACATCCCATTTCTGCCTCCACAAAAGTATGGCTATATGTAAACGAATGAGTGCTGCCAGACTGGTAAACAACGTCTCCCCTAAGAGGGGACAGTTTTGAGGCACCTGCTCCCACTTTCGAGTATTTCTGTTGCCAGTCTCCCGTAACTTGCCATCGCATGCCCACCAGGCGATCCGTAGAGGCAGCAATGTCCCTGAAAACACTGAACATGTCCAGAACCTGAACATCATCCCTGACCCCAACCCTAAAATATAACTATCCCACTTCAGCGAACCCTAAAAACCTATCCCTATCATTTGCTTCCCTCCAAAACCTTAACGCTCCACACACCTCTCTCTTACATCCTGTTTCAAACCCCAAAATTCCTAAGAGTACCCCCTTCGCGGAACTCTAAGAATATCCCCCACCATCCAAACACTCGTCCTACCCCTTTCTATACCCCCCAACACCTAACATAATGCCTAACCCTGTGCCGGGGCTTTGGACCCAATCCAGAAGTGGAAAATTGCTGAGTCATCCTTAGCTAGAGTGCCCAACACACCCTAGCGCCCTCCCAGTTACTGCTCCCTCAAAAGCGTGGCTATATGTAAACGAACGAGTGGTACCAGAGTGGTTCACCATGATTGTCCCAAGAGGCGACACTTTTGGGGCACCTGCTCCTGCTTTCGAATATTTCTACTGACAGTCTCCCATAACTTGCCGAATCACCTACCCTAAGCGGTCCGCTGAGGTAGCCATGTCCCTGAAAACAATGAACCTGACCCGAACCCGAACAACGTACCTGACCCCAACCTTAAACTATAACTATCCCACCTTAGTGAACCCTAAAAAGCTGTCCCTATCATTTCCTTCTCTCTAAAACCTTAATGCTACACACACCTCTCCCTTACACCCTGTTTCGAACCCAAACATTTCTAAGAATATCCCCTGCCGGGAAACATAAGAATGTCCACCAGAATCCACACACTTGCCCAAGCCCTCCCTTATACCCTGTAACCCAAACATACAGCGTAACCCTGTGCCTTGGCTGAGGGTCCCAACCCGGAAGTGTAAAATTGCTGAGTCATCCTTAGCTAGACTGCAAACCTCACCTCAGCGCCCTCCCGGTCTCTGCCCCGCAAAAGCGAGGCTCTATGTAAATGCACGTGTGCTGCCAGACGGGTTCACAACGTCTCTCCCAAGAGCGGACAATTTCGGGGCCTGTACTCCCGCTTTCTAGTATTTCCTTTGCCGGTCTCCAGTAACTTTCTGTCGCGTCCACTCTTGGCAGTCTGACGATGCAGCCATGTCCCTAAAAACACTGAAACTGTCCCGAACCCGAACAACGTCCCTGACAACAAACCGAAACAGGAACTCTCCCACCTCAGCGAGCTATAAAAACCAGTCCCTAACATCCCCTTCCCTCTAAAACCTTAATGCTACCCACACTTTCCCTTACCTCCTATATTGTATGCAAAAATCAAAAGATTATCCTCTGCCCAGAACCCTAAGCATGTCCCCCACAAATCACTCACTCGCCCAACCCTCCACCTATGCCCCCCAACACCAAACATAAAGCAAAACCCTGTGCCTTGGCTGAGGGGCCCAACCCGGAAGTGTAAAATTTGTGAGTCATCCTTAGCTAGATTGCAAACCCCACCTCAGATCCCTCCCGGTTTCTGCCCCGCAAAAGCGACGCTATATGTAAACGAACGCGTGCTGCCAGATGGGTTCACAACATCTCTACCAAAAGAAGACAGTTTTGGAGCACCAGCTCCCACTTTCGAGTATTTCTATTGCCAGTGTCCTGTAACTTGCTGTTGCGCGCCCACCAGGCAATCGGTAGAGGCCGCAGTGTCTCTGAAAACTCTGAACTTGTCCAGAATGAACACGTCTCTGCCCCAACCCTAAAATATAACTATCCCACCTCAGCGAAACCTGAAAACCTATACCGATCATTTCCTTCCCTCCAAAACCTTAACGCTGCGCACACATCTCCCTTACACCCTGTTTGGAACCCCAAAATTTCTAAGAGTGCCCCTTCTGCGGAACTCTAAGAATGTCCCCCACAATCCAAACACTCGTCCTACCCCTGCACTATACCCCCCAACCCCAAACATACAGCGTAACCCTGTGCTAGGCCTGAGGCACCCAATCTGGAAGTGGAAAATTGCTGAATCATCCTTAGCTAGACTGCCCAACCTCCCTCAGCATCCTCCCAATTACAGCCCCCTCAAAAGTGTGGCTATATTTGAACGAACGAGTGGTACCAGAGTGGTTGACAATGACTGTACCAAGGGGCGGCAATTTTTGGACATGTGCTCCCGCTTTCGAGTATTTCTATTGCCAGTCTCCCGTAACTTGCCGATGCGCCTAACCCAGGCGATCCGCCATGGTAGCCATGTCCCTGTAAACAATGAACCTGACCTGTACCCGAACAACGTACCTGACCCCAAACATAAACTATAACTATCCCACCTCAGCAAACCCTAAAAACCTGTCCCTAACATCCCCTTCCTTCTAAAACCTTAACGCTACACACAACTTTCCCTTACCCATTGTTTTGAACCCAAAAATCTAAAGAGTATCCCCTGCACGGAACTATAAGCATGTCCTCCACAAATGAAAACCTCGCACTACCCCACCCTTATGCCCCCCTACACCAAACAGACAGCATAACCCTGTGCCGGGGCTGAGGGACCCAACCCGGGAGTGTAAAATTGCTGAGTCATCCTTAGCTAGCCTGATGCAACACAACTCACAGTCCTCCCCTTTTCTGCCTCCACAGAAGCGTGGCTATATGTAACGAACGAGTGCTGCAAGATGGGTTCAAAATGTCTCTCCCAAGAGCGGACAGTTTTGGGGCCCATACTCCCACTTTCTAGTATTTCCTTTGCCGGTCTGCAGTAACTTCCTGTTGCGCCCACTCCGGGCAGTCCGACAAGGCAGCCATGTCCCTAAAAACACTGACACTGTCCCGAAACCGAACAACGTCCCTGACAACAAACCGAAACAGTAACTCTCCCACCTCAGCGAGCTATAAAAACCTGTCCTGAACATCCCCTTCCCTCTAAAACCTTAATGCTACCCACACTTTCCCTTACCCCCTCTTTTGAAACCAAAAATCGAATGATTATCCCGTGCCTGGAACCCTAAGCATGTCCTCCACAAATGAAAACCTCACCCTACCCCACCCTTATGACCCCTGACAACGAACATACAGAATAACATTGTGCTGGGGCTGAGGGACCAAACCCGGAAGTGGAAAATTGCTGAGGCATCCTTAGCTAGGCTGGCCCGACGCACCTCAGTAAACTCCCAGTTTCTGCTTCCACAAAAGCGTGGCTATATGTAAATGAACAAGTGCTGCCAGACTGGTACACAGCGTCACTCCCAACAGGGGACAGTTTCGGGGCACCTGCTCCCGCTTTCGAGTATTTCTATTGCCATTCACCCATAACTTGCCGTCGCGCGCCCACCAGGCGATCCGTAGAGGCAGCAATGTCCCTGAAAATACTGAACCTGTCCAGAACCTGAACACCGTCCCTGACTGCAACCCTAAGATATAACTATCCCACCTCAGCAAACTCTAAAAACCTATCCCTATCATTTCCTTCCCTCCAAAACCTTAACGCTGCACACACCTCTCCCTTACACCCTGTTTCGAAACGAAAAATTCCTAAGAGTACCCCCTCCACGGAACTCTAAGAATGTCTCCCACAATCCAAACAGTCGTCCTACCCTCCACTATATCCCCCAGCCCCAAACATAAAGCGTAACCCTGTGGCGGGGCTGAGGGACCCAATCCGGAAGTGGAAAATTGCTGAGTCATCCTTAGCTAGACTGCCCAACCCACCGCAGCGCCCAACCAGTTATTGTCCCCTCAAAGCATGGCTATATGTAAACGAACGAGTGGTACCAGAGTGGTTCACAACGACTGTCCCAAGAGGCGACACTTTTGGGGCACCTACTCCAGCTTTCGAGTATTTCTATTGCCAGTCTCCAGTATCTTGCCATCGCACCCATCCCATGCGGTCCGCCAAAGCAAAAATGTCTCTGAAAACACTGAACCTGTCCCTAACCCGAACACCGTCTCTGACCTGCACCCTAAAATATAACTATCCCACCTCAGCGAACCCTAGAAACTGTCCCTATCATTTCCTTCTCTCTAAAACCTTCACGCTACACACACCTCTCCCTTACACCCTGTTTCGAACCCAAACATTTCTAAGACTATCCCCTGCCCAGAAACATAAGGATGTCCACCACAATCCACACACTTGCCCAACCCCTCCCTTATGCCCCGTAATCCCAAACATAAAGCGTAACCCTGTGCCTTGGCTGAGGGTCCCAACCTGGAAGTGTAAAATTTGTGAGTCATCCTTAGGTAGACTGTAAACCCCACCTGAGCGCCCTCCCTGTTTCTGCCCCGCAAAAGCGAGGCTCTATGTAAACGAACGAGTTCTGCCAGACTGGTACACAACATCTCTCTGAAGCGGAACAGTTTGGGGGCACTTGCTCCCACTTTCGAGTATTTCTATTGCCAGTCGCCCGTAACTTGCCGTTGCGTGCCCACCAGGCGATCCAAAGAGGGAGCAATGTCCCTGAAAACACTGAACGTGTCCAGAACCTGAACACCGTCCCTGACCCCAAATGAAGAT